TCATGTCGAAGTGTATACTGAAGATATTCGTGCCTAACTGGAATTAAACCCTAGCAAGACTGAGGTTATTTCTTTTTTATTGTGATTCAAAAAGAATGTTCAGATGTTGAACTCCTTAAGTCATTTTAACTATGATTACTCAGAACAATAACAAGTAAATTATATATGTTAGTTCTATTGTTATGGAATAATAACATTACAAATTAAGAAATTTCTCAGCAGATTGTTTCATCATCAATATATATTTTCTTGAGAATGTCTCAGAATGTGCTTGCGTTGATTTTCATGTCAGAAATCACATACTAAAATGAATAGTTATGAATATACAGGTAATAGTGAATCTTTCAAATAGACATTGAATACAATAGTGCTTTGGTCGTTTAGCCCGAGCTAATGGTCTGTTCAGGCTCTTAAAAACGATTGTGATTCAGCTCGTACTCGTACCGCTTCTTAGCTTTCTGTCTGTTGTGTACTTGGACAATGCAAGATGTCATAATAATATACATACATAAACTTGTTGGGACCAATCAGCATATTTTGGGTTCGACAACGTATACAGTCCAATATATTTCTTACTTTGAGATTACACAAACACTGATGTACTTACAACACCCATTGCGGATGTCGTCAGTGGTGATATATATTTAATAAGCCCATTGACGCCGACGTCACGTGACCATCTATTTTTTATCAGGCATGCCAGTATTATGTAATAGTTACCCCTTCCAAGGAGATATACACTCTGCCATATTAAAACCCTATATGCCAGTGTATCATGTTCATATATATTTTCTCTTATCCCAAAGAAATGTGACCCCTTTCTGAACTTTGCATTGTAGTTTTCTGAAACTTCAATGAATTCTCGTGACCCTCTTCCCTTAAAAACTGAAAGCTGTATTTTATGTTTTCCTGTTTAGTATGCTGCCCTCATCGGCAATTTTCTGATTACCTTTGATGTTTATTTCTTGGCAGCAAACGGTATCAAGATTAGAAGTAATGCTGTGTGGGCTGCTAGCAATAAATGTAAGAATCACGGAAAGCTTAAAAAGAACTCCCGTGTGCCGACAGTATTAAAGGAATATTAAAAATTCCAAACAAGAAGCTTGGCGCCTAATATTTGTCTGTTATTTGAGATGCGCAACAATGTAATCCACATTATTGAAGTTTATAATACTTGGAGGAAATACATTTGATTTTACATCAGTGATTTTCAGTCTAATTTATTTCAGAGCACCTCTACGACAAGTTCAAATTAAATCTGATTTTTTGAGATATAAGAAATTGTTAATTAGATAATCAATATGCATATTTGTTATTATTAAACTAATCACGATTACCCAAGAGCATCTATGAATCACTAAAATTTGATGATTATGCACGTTTCAAGTTTTATTATTATGTGATGATTAGTTCTTGGATGTATGTATTCCCAACTTAATTAGATCTTTGCATTGTCTTATAGTATTTACGTATTCATTGAAATAAGATGAGTACTTGAGACATTTAATAATTAATATGCACATCAGGTAATTAATATGCACAGAATTCAATGTAAAACTAATAAGGTCTCCTCAATGTCACACACCATCCATATACCAACGTTCATTGAAATGTGATTAGAACTTCAGATGTCGAGGGAAACTAAACAGGTCTGTGCAATGTCCTAGAGCATCTATGTACCAAGTTTCATCAAAATCAAATGAGGGGTTCTTTAAATATCAGTGGAACAGTCATAGAACAGCTATCAATCAGGTAATTGTGCATGTGCATGGATTTAAACCAAAACCTAATAAAATCTCAAGTTTCATACTAAGAAACCAACACATGATTCTTGAGATATCAGTTGAACACACACTCCCGCATACACTATTTTCTTGTCAAAATCAATTTGTTTTCAGGATTAAAAACACGAAAGAATTTTACAATGTCGAAAACGGAAAGTCTTTACCGTAGTGTTATTCTGATTGATACATCGCCACGGTCACTATAAAACCCGGAACCGGAATGAGAACAGGAATTGTGTAACTGAAACATTAAAAATGAAACTATTTTAAGGAAATACGTGTCTTGGCATTGGGTTATAATAATGATACCAATACCCGTTATATTAAATTGATCTCAAGTAAAATTCGTCACTAATAAAAGAACAACATTAATACTCTTCGTGAAATACATTTATCCTATTTTTTGAATTCAGCTTGTTTCTCCTGGAATCAATATTATATTACATGTACATCTCTTGGAAGTATTGAACACACTTTTTATAAGCAATAAAGTGTAATTTTTGTTTTCTATACCGTTATTTCTTTGCCACCAAGATAAAGTAGTTTAACAGGAAGAGTAGACTTCGTCATCCAACATCGTTTGTTTAGGGTCAGGAAATCTATGTAGATTTCATTTATTTTCCATAACATAAAACATTAGGAACAATGTTTCAGTTTGAGATGAACAAAAAGTATTTACATAGAGTTCCATTTGTAAACAAAATATTGTGTTATTTTAAACTGACATTCTCTTAAATGATTAAATATAATAACACGAAAAGTCAGTTGATATGTAAAATCTGTTTTGTTTAAGAGTACTATTTGTTAATTTTCAGTACGCGGAGATATAATCTCTATAATAACTAGTCGTGTATTCTTTTTTAGATCGAGGTATCTAGCTTTTTGGACTTTTAGACAATTTCTTTACTATATTTAGTTGTGTCCAAATTAGGTAACTTTTCATTAACCCAAACCAACATAAAATAAAATATTCTGGTATCTCTTTTCGTTTTGAGATGTTTCCACTCATTTCATTATTATAAAGCTGAAAAGTGATTTCCCGCCGAAATAATGTGCCTGTTGTACCAAATAACTAGTTTAGTGATATCGTTTTTTTTGTATTTGCTGGGTTAA